CATTTAATCTGGGTGTCTGAATTTGATCACATACCACAGTGACAAATTTTCTGTTTTTGGAAAAAAAATAACCACCTCAGAGGCTGTTTTTTGACCCTTCTAAGGTAGCTATGTCTTTGATTACCCGACGGTTCAGAAATCTTTAGATTCACCCATGCACCTGTATGAAAATATACAACTAACTTCTCCAACCCTTTACTGATTTTATTCAAAGTATACTGAATTTTGTTTATTATTTTTTGTTGATTTTTATCAAATGAACAAACCTCTAGCTGTTTTAAACTACGAATCATTCCCTCATTTTCCAAATGGTACGAATTTTTGACCTCTGTCACCTTAACAACATTAGTTGTAAGAATGATGTTTTTCTCACAATCCATAAGCGAATAAGTACCAAAAGTAGCAGAATGGCCAGGGCTGTCACATCGGGCATCTCCAGCGAGGGTCAGGTTAATCTTGGTGCTGTAATCTGAAAGCATACAAGATAGTGTTAATAATACAGTAATGGTTATTTTTTTTTCGTCTGCTTTAAAAGTGTTATGTCAAGTGCCATTAATTAATTAATTAATTGGTGGTGGTATGTACTACTACAGTTAATGTACTGTAATCTGTATTTGTGGTTTGTGTTGCTTTCTGATACTCCCTTCCCAAGATATAGCTAATTTATCAGTGTTAGATCTATGATCTAATAAGAATCATGGTTGTGAAGAACATTTCAGCCACAAAACACCACAAAAAATTAATACAATACCTTTAAGAATTTCTTGTTGATGAAATTCCCACATCTGATTAACGGAAGGCAGCAAAAACTGATGCTGCCAAAAGAAGATTCCCCACTGCCATCTTTTTTAGCACTGGCTGGGACCTCCATGTGAAATCATGGTTATTCAGGCATGTCCCTTTAATTATTAGTAAGCTACCAATTGCCTGTTGTTTAATTTCAGCTACTGGGGCCGTACAGGTTGGATCCCCCTGACATGATTGAAATAATTCCAAAAGATTTTCATTAAAAACAATGTATTTCGAATCTGGGGGAAAGGTTATGCTGCTGCTGTCTGAATTGTCACTACTACAGCTACTACTTTCCTCACTTTCTGATGAGCTCAATTTGTATGAATAATCATCTTGGTCTTCACCTGGTGAAATGCAATCAAAAGATGATTCTTCGCATTTCTCTGGAGTAACAGTTAGCCTCGGTTTGCAGCAGGGAGCAGAACATGTCGGTGCTATACCATTACAGCAGGGAGAAGGGCATGCAAAGGTGATGGGATCAGTTTGTGTTGATCTTGATGATGTGGTTTTTTCTTCTGTCTCCATTGCAGGCTGTTCATAGTTTTGCTGCTGCGCACGTTCTCTTTGCTCAGCAATAATTTCAGAATCTATATCTTTATGAATCTAAAAAAAAAAAAAAAAATAGACCTATTTATTGATTGTATACAGTATGTGCAATGAATGTGGGTACATCTAGAAAAAAAATCTATAGATAAAAATTAAATAAATGCAAATTTAAAAAAAAAAAAATAATAGTAAATTAACAAAATCCTGTGTTGCATGCTGATAGGACTTACCACAACGAAGATAATATTAATAATGATGATCATTTATAATACATTATTATAAAAATAACAGCAATAGTCGTAAATAAAATTCACAACACCATTTAGAATAGAAGAATGTTGAAAATGATAATATCCTAAGCAGGTCCTACATATGTAGCAATAATTACAGGTCTATATTTATTTTATATTTCATTATTTATCAAGACTAATGCCTTCACAATAGTAACATAGTAATGGCTAAAACTGTACACAGCAAAATAATAAACTTTCCTACAGACTAGGCCTAGGCTAATACTAGTGTAGTGGTAGTAAACACTCCACAAACGAGTGACACAGATTTTATTTACTTAGCCCAGCATCCCTCAGACATCGATATGTGTATAGGTATGTTTATACTATCATGATTTGGTCATTCGGAAAAAATTAAGGTAAATCTTTAGGATCGATTGTTTTTTCTTTATTTTTTCCGAATGACCAAATCATGAGAGTGTTGTTCGTTTTTCCCTTGCTTCCAATCGAGATTTTCTACTTTGGACTGGCGCTCCAGTGAACATAGGCCTAGCCCTACTACAACGTTGGAACGGCATCGTCCTTCAAGATGAATCGTGCCTTTGATCCTAAAAGCTCTGCTTTTAAGTCTCTCACATAGCAGTCCTTTTCGAAATGGTCGCTACATACCCTGCTGAACTTATTTACTGGCGGAGATTTCAGTTGCATTGCATTCAGCCATTTTCGCAGCGTGTCTTTGTTTCGTAGGGGCAAAGAATGAAAATGTATGCCCTTGTTCTTTTTGTAACCTTTGTTTGTACACCCTGGTGCCATACAAAAATACGGCATTATTGAGCGTGATAATACTCTAGGATACTAGTGAAGACGAATATAATTAAAATATTTCACAACCCGAACAAGTACAAGAAAGAATTCGTTAACTACAAAATATACGTATCTAAACAGCATGTAAACACTATAGGTCGCTCAGTGGGGATTCCTCGCTCGCTAGGTTTGGACCTTAGGTGACGTCATAAATATTTTGTCCAATCAGAAGCTTTCTTTTAGTCATTGCGTTTAATTAGGTAATTAATTAATGAGACCTCATTAAACATCGAACACTGGTTGTAAAATTTTATATTACATATCTTCACAATATATAACTGTAAAATTCACGATTCTGGTCACCTTTAATACAAGGAGGTAATGTGAAATGATTAAGAGTAAACTTCAAACTACTTTTATCAATTAATATATATCTGCTGACATTCTTTAAAAGACCGTAAAATGCCACCACTTCACTACTAACCTCAACGAGCAACGAACCTCTGCTGTCAAATGAAATTGGAATACTGTATTGTACCTTATATACGACGACGTATGCAAAATAGGCTTCAAATTGGACTTCAGCCATCGTCTTTTTTTGATTGGACGTTCAATTTTCATTTTCCCGCCAAAAGATTTTCTCTCTGTGCGGACCGATAAGTAAGCACTCACTGTGCTGTGATTGGTTGAAACCAAACTCGTATACCGTAGCACTGTAGCAGGTGTCTCAGCAAGATTGATATTGAAGATCTGATACTGAACTTGAAGCATTTTAAATAATTATAAATTACTGTATTTATAATTATACATGTAATCAACCAGACCTCATTAATGATTGTCATTATTTAAAAATATACAATATGAGACCTGCCACCACGAAATGAGAGTAAAGTCGCACGACGTATATTTGAGCTAAGTGCCAAAATACATAAAAACCTCATCCATGGTCGAAATTTTGTTTTCAGTCAAAACAGCTTTTAAAAGTATTTATTTATAACATACCGAAGTTTCCCGGCGAAAAAATCATCGGAAGCAAGACAATTTCGTGATTTTTCATAGACCATTATTTGGAAATCTGTCGGTTTCTTACATGTTCGAACACAAAATCCTTCAAAAACGAGCATTTTCAAGCCGCTCGTGCATCCTTTCTTTTCGTCTTTGACCCCTAGTGTTTGATATCGTTGGAAAGGTCACTTGTTCACGAACATTCTGACAGAATTTTTAATCGAATACAACTACAGAATCAACCAATTAAATCCATTTTCTCAGAAGGGTTTGGTTACTAAGGAGTACAACCAATGAACACTGAAGCGGTCTCCTCATTGGCCAAACCCTACTATGACGCACTTCGATATACTACGCATGCTCAGTTTCAATGATTTTGCTTCTCGCGCATGCTCAATTTCAATGTTTGGCTTCTCGCGCATGCTCTGTTCCATTGTTTACGCGTTTCGTTCCATGCGGAATTCCATTGCGAATTGCAGTTCGGAGTGTGTTCATTGAAAGAATCTTGTGTTTTTGAGAATATTTTCCTAATATTGGGTGATCATTTTAAATTTTCACGTTATTTCGTTGGTACATTATTTTATCGCTTTGCTATTTGTGGCAATGACTACCTCGAAAGATGTAGCGGAAGCTCTAAATAGAGGTTTACTGCTAGGCCTAGGAGTTTCTAATGAAGATGAAACTGTCCTGAGAAACATGGTCGCGGAATACTTTTCCCCTGACAATCCCGAGGAGGAGATGAGTGATTTGGAAGACATTGACGATGAAGAAGAGGGGTCAGAAGAAGAAATAGAAGTAGGCCCGAGCATAGACCGAGATCATGATTTTCATGAAGACGTCAGTTTTGACGATCCAGCTATTGTTGTCGACCCAGCAAAAGAAGTTGCTCAAAGGTAGGCCTAGGTTTGTTTTCATGTTTAGTTTTTCAATCCATGCTATTTTATTTTTATTTACTCAGCATGCTAGCTACATGCTAGTCTTAGGCCTAGGGTAGGTAATAATATTAAAATATTTATGGCAAATTTCAGTGTATTTTGTAAACACTAACATATTTAAAATTTATTTTTATATTGTAGGATTGCAGATGATGAAAAAGAAGACTGGGGTGGTAAACAAAATGCTGATGAGTTTGATGCTGTTGAAAATTATAATCATTGTCAATGTGGTGAATCTTCCTGCCTTAGTAAATTTGATGCCAAGTTCATCCTCAACAGAAGATCAGAAATGGACGAGTTGACAAAGGGAGAGAAAAAGATGTTTTTGCTAGGACTTATAAGTCATTCGTTAAACTGCTCCTCCACAACTGAATGCTCAAAACGCTCAACACAAAAACAACGCACCCGATCAAGGACCGTTTACAGAGTAGAAGGCAAACATTTATGCAGAAATGGATTTATGTTTATGCATCGGTGTCCATTTTTGTATACTGTATTTTTAATCTTTTTTTTCTTTACAACAAACAATTAAGTTATCTTAGCTGTATCAAATATTTTCATTATTTAATTTTTTCTTCTTTAGCATAAGCAACAACTATCTAAACCTACTGACCAAACATTATAAATCAAATGGTGTATGTCTCCCAAAACCAAAGACTGGCGGCCGTAGATTTAACAAGACTGCATTGTCTACAGAGGATATAACTCGAATTGTAACGTTTATTACAAGTTATGGTGAGTTACATGGCCTCCCTCTACCTGGACGTCAAAGCAGAGTGAACACCAATGATCCACGAACACGTTTGCTGCCGTCATCTGAAAACAAATCCACAGTTTTCAGAAAGTATGAAAAAGAAATGGAAGAAGTGAATCGGCGAAAAACAGCTGCTGGTAAGTAAATATTTGTTGTTAATTAATTTCTTAGCAAAATATGTTATAAAAACAATTTCACTTAGGACAGCAGAAAACAAAAAAAAAACTATTGAATATACAGTGTGGCACGTGAACACTGGCTTTAAAATAATGGTCCATTATCGCAAACCGGAATGTAGCATTTTTTAAATAATGATTGATAATATACCTGATGTTCTGTTTCTTTCACATAATTTTATTCTACATATTTTTCAGGACAACCCTTGCTGAGAATTGCCAGGAGGTCAACATTCAATAAACTTTGGCTTACGTATGCCCCTGTCTCTTATACACATCAGATGTGTTGGCGAGAGATTGGGACCTATTGAACCATGTTCGAAGAACTACACAATGCATTACTCCTTTGATTTCGCCCAGCAGGTCGCATTTCCTTTTGACCCACAACAGCCAGGTCCCATTTACTTTTTATGTACAAGGAAGTGTGGTATATTTGGAGTTGCCTGCGAAGCTGTACCACAACAAGTTAACTACTTGATAGATGAGGGTATGCTGCTATCGAAGGGATCGTCAGCCGTAATCTCCTACTTACACGATTTCTTCATTTCAAACGGGTTAGGAGAAAAAGTGGTGCAGTTGAACTGCGACAACTGCTCAGGCCAAAACAAAAATCGATACATGTTGTGGTACTTAGCTTGGCGCACAATTCACAAACTTCACGAAAAGATCCACCTGAATTTCTTGATAGCAGGACATACTAAATTTTCCCCTGACGCTGGCTTTGGCCTGATTAAACAGAAATACCGGAACAATGTGGTTGGGTGCCTTGATGACATGGCAAACGTAGTGAATAATAGCAGCACCACAGGAATGAACAAAGCAAGGATCGTTGGAAGCGAGTCGGGTGAGGTATTTGTGCAGCAGCACAACTGGGGTGATTATCTTGAGCCCTATTTCAGGCCGTTGAATGGCATAAAGAAGCTCCACCATATGAGATTCGACAAAGACTATCCTGGAATGGTATATTACAAAGAATTTTGTGACTCTCCTGAAAAAAGCTTTCAATTGATGAAAGATATCAATAATCCTCCTCCATCTCAACTTCCCCAGCCAATTAAACCACCGGGATTAAGTAGTGAACGGCAGCTCTATTTATACAATAGCATCAGAGAGTTTTGCCCGTACAAAGTGCGTGATGTTATCTGTCCTGCTCCACAAGTCCAGCGGGAACCTCTAGCTGAAGTTGAAGTAAATGTACAGCCACAGACATCAACTAAAAGGAAAGCGGTACAGGGAAAAACAAATGGAAAGAGAAAGAAATAAATGAGAACTGCATCCCTTCTTCATTCAGAGCAGCTGTTGAGATTATAAAAAAATGTAATATAATACTTGTTGCATAAGAAAATTTCAAATGACTCATAAATTTATATTCTTTTTTTCTTTTAGCTATACAATGTTGTGCTCTTCATTGTACATTAATATTTAATATAAACCTATTTTAATACAATAATTATTGTAAAAGTTTAGTGGCTGTGTCGTTTTACTGTCTATTTGTCTGCTTAATAATACTGATTTTGTTTGATAGATTATTATTTTTGCACAATACATAATATCGTGTTAATATTTAGAATTTTTAATCTGAAATCTTAGATAAATAATAAAAAATGATATTGTAGTACTTGAGGATAATTGTTCTTGAATCTTCTTTACTTACTAAAATAGAGAATGCCTATCTTTCAATGTCCGTGCAGTGCAAGAATACTGGTGTAGTAATTGCATTTTCTTGTAATCGCGTTACATAATTTGGTTAGTTTTTTGTCAATTTTTAAAGTAATTTTATTAATGGAAGTTGTTAATAAAAAAACCTGATATTTTGTACACTGTGTCTCCAATGATTCATCAACATATGTGTGAAGTTTCATTTGCATAGCATTACAGGAAGTTCGTTGTTGCTATGGAAAATATAGTGCCAATGACTCAAGATTCCAGTGATACGCTTCGCTAACTTTGCAAGGCTTTTTTTCATTGTTTTAGTTTCCTAGAGTTACAGTATTATGCAACTTCAATTAACCATATCTCACTTATTTCTCAATGTATTTGAATAATTTCAACACCATTTTTAAGCTGAAATAATGAACAATCAGAAAATATATACATCTAAATATTGGTAAACGTCAACTTTACTCTCATTTCGTGGTGGCAGGTCTCATATACATCAATATACAGTATGACGACATTTTTATTCATTTCATGGTAGGTAGCAGTGTGATGTTAGATATTAACTTCCATGTTTATATATGAATATATATGTATGTTCCATATATAAATATGTCTATTATATAGTACATATATAATTGTAAACGTTAAATGCCGGGTTAAAGTTCGTATCTTTACTTTTAACATTTAAAACATTTAATATACGGTATATATAAAGGATATTCATTAATAACAATAATATTATAACAGTAATAATAACAATGAGGTTTTATTGAGATGAAAATGAATGAATGTTAAAAAATATAGAATTTCTATACCTTTGTTTTTGACATTGTATTTAATAGATTTTTTTTCTTATCTTGATGTTTTTTTACCGATAAGTAAGCATTCACTGTGCTGTGATTGGTTGAAACCAAACTCGTATAGTGTAGCACTCTAGCAGGTGTAGGCGGAACGATTTAGGCTAAGCCAAAACTAGTCCTAGCCGGACCAATACGCCTTCCAATCGCTTTTATACTTCACGACATGGCCAACTTCATTAAAGGCCTCATAATACTCATCCGGGAGTAGAATGGTCTCCTTCTTCCGCAATAACTGTTCAACTCGGCCAAATGCCCAGTCAGCTGGCATGTAAGAGTGTCCTCTGACAGGAAAGACGTGTTCGAATGAGATATTGTGCTTTGTTGCCAAGATGTTTATCGCTGTCACCACTGTAAAATTTTTGTTATGCCCAATGCATGAATCACTAAAGAGTCGAATTTTCTTCACTCCATGGTCAGCAACCGACAAACGATTTTCTATGAAATAAGCCACGGCACTTGCTACTGTGTTAGCCCCTCTCCCTTGTTGGTGCTCACCCCAAGTGTAGAAAAAAATATCCTTTCTTTTCTGTTCCCTGGAGATGTGGGCGACCACGCCCAAAAAGTATAACCACAGCTGGCGGGCATAGTATTCTTCTCCAATGGGAGACTTCGGCAGCGCTTGATTCTGCATTAGATCAAAGCAAATTGATAATAAGGAATCATCATTCTCCTGTTTTAACAGGATGTAAAATTGTTTTGCCCTCATTTTGTGGACAAGATGTTGAGTTATCATATCTCGCTTTTCTCCTGGATCTTTGGTCACCTTAATTGATGCTTTCATCTTTATATATACAGAGCATACATTTTTCCTAGGATTTCCAAATCCTAAATTGAAGCTGGTCATGAAGATGTAATAAAACCTGTAGTTTACATCGACTGTCCCTAAATTAAGACAGGGTAATTTGTTATTGTAGAGCTATAATAGCTAATGTACACTTAGTACTAATCCAATTAGGTTAGTGGGTGTATTAAATCAGTTACTTGTCAAATAGCCTTCTTCTATTTTATCCTCCAGACTGGCGATTGGCCTCTGCTATCATCATCAGTCATATTCAACCTCAAAAGCCTCACCAAACTGGCACCAAAAGGGTCTCTTCTCTTCTTTCCCATCAAGAAAGTTGTTTATTTCATCTCCTTCATGTCAACTAAGGTCGTGTTTATATTACATACTTGCTAGAAACACGAATCTGCAGTTACGTAACGTATTTCATTGCCCGCGGCCGATCCGTGTTAGGTTTACATTCATACATGTAATCTGAACACGGATTAGACAGGAAGTGAAGTAGCTCGCGAAAAGCCTCTTTTCGTGAAAGGTATATATTATGACTTCTCAGCAGTAAATTAAGATATAAAATTATTGCTTAATAATGGCCTTATTAACAATAATTATTTTCTTATATCATTCTGGTTGTAGGCCTATTATAAAAGCCCATCCCATCTTGTTAGCGCCTGTCAACAGCAAGAAAGCTATTGAATTACCACCCACTGTTTCAAGAGAGGTCAATTGGAGGCTACAAGTTGGTACTTCCAACACAGCAAGTTTGGCGAGTTCGCCAAGTGGCCTTTTGTCCAGATGGTATTGTAATCACACGTAATCCAGACCGTTTATACTACACACATCAGAGAAGCCGTGTTCGTCAATCCGTGTTCAGAGTGTAATATAAACGGGCCCTAAATGTCTATTGACCTTGCTGAATGTGCCACCCCTATTTCTTTTTCTGTTCAGTTCCAAAAATACAAACTTCCCTTTCCCTCTGCCTCTCCTACTGACCTTCCAACTGGAAAGTTTAGGAGCAAACTAAATTACTACCATGTACAGTTGTTTAAATGTACAGTACTTTGAAATCACATATCTCATCTAGAGATCTTGATCATTGAGCCCTTTGCTATTGCAAAATTAGGTCGAATATCAATCTACTTTAATCCGAATCAAAACAAAGTTATTGCGTTATCACTAGACCTACACCTTCCATTCACCTCCCCAACAAGGAAGGAAACCTCTACCCACAATACCCCAATGACTCCTAACAAGTACTTAAAGTACAACAGTTTAAACCGCCTAGATTAAAATGTCATCTCTAGAGCCTTTCATCATCTAGCCCTCCTACGCCAACCTCATTTTGGAGAGCCAAATTCTGTAATCGCTCCATAAATTTTTATTTCAATATTTTGCCAATAATTACCAATCATGCTTTTATCATTCAATATTTTATTAACAGTAATGCAATACTATAATAGCAATAACAACATCAACAATAATAGTAATAATGAATGATAATAATAACCAATAGTGATGACTGTAGTGATAATTATGTCGTACTAATGTTGTATTACCGCATAGGATCTGTGGTAGACTACTGACACAGATAATTAAAAATGACGATATAATACTAATACTAACATTAACAATAATAATAAAAATAAAATGTATAATATAACAATATAATAACAATATAATAATAATAATAATAATAATAATAATAATAATAATGATAATAACTATATAATAAATAATATAATAAATATTATGATAATAATGATAATAATAATAATAACAATGAAATATTATTATTATTATTATTTGCATATTAAAGGTATTAATTTACATGAATAATGCAATAATAATAATAATAATAATAACAACAACAATAATAATAATAGTAGTAACAAAACAACATTTTGGTGTTCAGTGGAGCGGAGATGAAATTGTAATTCAGTAGCTGGCATCATTTTCCAGTGCTACATGCAAACAATGCTAGGCTTCCATGTATGTGCAAGATCATTAAATATCATTTATAAAATAAAAAAAAAAGAAAAAAAAAAGAAAACTTAATTTACCATTTCATAATAGGCCTAAACACAACCAAAACATAGAACATGCTCTTGACGCATCCTTTCTGTTAATTCTTTTTCACGTTGCCTTTCTGCAGTCTTGTCGTATGCGTTTCTTTTTAGATTTGTACTTTCTGTTAATTCATCTCGTTCCTTTGAAGTCGTAGGCATTTTCCCCTGAATTAATTATAGAGGATACAGATAATTTAAAATGAAATATAATACAAGTGAGTTTCTAATGTAATAATTACAATACTGAAAATGAAAACGTCACGAAGGACTCTTGAACAGTATCATCCAGATATAGAATGTACGTGCGTTTATGGGATTTACCATAATTAGATTTTTTAGATAAAAGTTTATAAACCAACATTTATACATAACATATATTAATTACCGGTATCCCGTGTTAATATATATATTTTTTTTTAATAGCTTCCAATAAGACCAAATAGAAGAAATTACTTGTTTAGCGTCGCATCACAACACAGTTTTAGATGGGGAGGGTGGCTTTTTTTCCCCCTTTGTTTTTTGTTTTTTTAATTATACAATATTACTAATCAAATTAAATGTGTTAAAATTAATCATTTTCAATAGGTTGGTGAAATCATTGTTATAATTCACTTAAAATTGGTCTATACTTAATTTGATTAGAATTTCCTGGACTATTTTTATAAAAAAAAAAAAAAAGAAATCCCACCTCCAAGTTTTTTATTTTGCTAGAAAATTCAGGTGGGAGTGGTTTTGGCCTATTATCAATAGGCCTAAAAACATTTTAAAAAAATAAATAAATATCAATAGGCCTACAAACATTATTTTAAAAAAAATAAATATAACAATCATACAACGCTGTCCGAGTTGCCCAACATCAACGATTATAAGGATCGATCAAAACAATTAAATTATTGAGGATAGTAATATTAGGTCGATCAATTAAAGAAACCATTACACTACATATAATGATAATAACAATAATAATAAAACAAAGGACCCTATAATGAATGATGTTGATTCCAAGAAAAAAAAAAAGTTAATAATAATAAGTTTCTTTATTTTAAATCAACCGATTATTGATCATTGTTGTTTGTTTTTATAAGCGAGAATCAGACAGTAAAACTTATAAAAATAGGCCTGTAAGATTAAGGGCATTTTAAAAGTTTTAGCAGTGGTACGACAAGCTGTTTAGATGTCTTAAAAGAATGTTACTTTTTTTTTTTGTACATACCCTCCTTCAATAAATAATTAAATAGATAATGGTCCAAAGAAGTGAAAAGAAATAGTTGTGACAACGGTCGTACAGGCTATTCAGCTAAAACCCCCCCAAAAAATGAAGCGGTATGATAGCATACACTACACGCAAATTCAAGATAAAAACCAGTGAACCACCGCCGAACTGCCAGTAAATGTCAACACAGTTTTATCTTACACTGCTTATGCGGACGTAATATGATCACCAATATATTCCCGCCTTATTATTGTTTACCTGACCTATTCCCGTCTTAAGGAAAGTAAGTTTCAACTACCCTTCCCATTATGCTCACTATTTCTCGCTGTAAAGTGACTTGGGATTTTTTCAACGTAAATTAGCTTTAACATATTTTTTACAGATTGTTTATGCTGGATAATAAGCTGTGAAGTTAAGTTCAACATAAGGTATATGCTCGATTGTATAACCTTCCGTTACTTTATGTTGTTTAATAAATACATGACATATTTAATAATTGTTTACCCCAGAAGAAAGTGTTGCAAATTTGTGTCCCATAGGCTCTGATTATCCAGACCACAAAATAATAAAATTCTCCGGGAACTAAATTTCGTGTTACACCGGTCATACTAAACACCACCTGTCATACTAAACCCCACCGGGGAATAATACAGTGCATAGTCTGGATAACAGTTGCTTGTATTGTTGCTCAAAAATGATTGAAAAAGATATCTAGTTTAACAGAACGTTTAGCTTGTCTTGCCAAATCCTGCTGGTTTAGCCTTTTTCGCCTCTCCTTTCTAGGCATCTCGCATAGATAGCTAGTGGCCGTCTACAAACCGTGTGCGAGTGCATGCATCATGTGGTTTTAAATCGCCAGAGTAGAGAAATACCGCGCATGTACTCTCAGAGCCAGCGCGCGGCACGTGGCCTCATACGTGCCATTGAAGTGGAAAAAATGCACTTATTGTGCGTACTTAACACCACATGTCAATATATAACTTAAAACATAAGTATTTAAATTTTTTAAAAAAAATTGATGATGAATAATCAATTATTCAACGAAAGGAATACATTGACATCTGGTGTTAAGTTATTTATTTTTACAGTAGTTTGCGTTTTATCATCAGGTAAAAAAGGGGCACTTCAAAGATTGAGGGGGATCCGGACGTCATGGACCCCCTCTCTGGATCCTCCCCTGCATACCTGAGGCACTGTGGACAGGGACCATAATCATCTGGGAGAATTGCTTGTCTGGGGTCTACGGAGAAGGACAACTTCTACCAGCTTTGTTTGATTTACTTTCTGATTATGTACATAATTGCCCCTATTTGTCCGTAAGTTGATTGGACAAATAATGCCTTGCAAATTAAGTAATTTGCCACAAAACAAACAAGCATTTCTGCTGTCATAATCTCTAACAAGCTTGCCCTCTTTACTGGTCTTCGTTCTGCTACAATGAACATACATTTCACATTCAATCCATATTTGTCAACATCACTGTCCACTTGAAAATCATCATCACTTTCTTTTCTTTCACCACTTCCATCTAGTTCTTGTGCAGCATTTTCTGGTTCTTCATCTATTTTCTCATTAAAAGCACCATCAGAGCTTGTAGGTTGATATTCACTATCAGAATTTGAACACTCGGATGCACTTTCACTTTCTCCTTTCAATAGTTCCCTTGATTCTTTCTCCCCACCTGCAGAATATCCAACTATGGCATTAATTCCTGCTGCTTTTAAAGCGTGGATAAAGAATCTCCTACCCCTATACATACTTTCATCCTACCAAAATTCATCATCAATTTTCAGGTCTTTAATAGCGAACAAACATGCAAATACACCTGTTCTTGTATCACTACTTTTTCCAATCTGCAATTACCATGTGCCCCTGTCATTGACCAGTCTACCTAGTGATTTTGTATCAGATGTTGCATCAATGCTGTTAAAAGAAAAAAGAAACATGTATAATATACCTTTTGGAGATATAAAAGGATTCTGAAGCTGAGTCGTAAGGCATTAAAAATATAATGAAAACCATACTTACCATAATTAAGCGAAGATCTGTTTATGTCCCTCAAAAAGATCTTCACTTCTCTCTGCCTTATCTTCCTTTAATAATTCGCCTTTATACTCAAGTATGAATTATCCTGTGGCAAATGTTTTTGTTGCGAAGATGCCTTTACCTGTATGAAAAAAAAATATGTGAATATTTTATTCAATGCAGAATCTTATGGATATTCCTAGACTAGATATATAAGCCCAGAGATATAATCGAAAAAATAAGGTATGTGAAATTCTTATATCAAAAAGCTTAATCTAGCTATATCCCTGGGCTTATACAGTATATGTTTCAAAATGTTTTTACCCCTGGGAAGTATACAAGACAGGGAAATATGAGGCCGGGAAATATTTGTTAAGCTTAATTTATTTACATACCACACATAATTGTATGATATTTAACTTACAATAGATGAAAACTAGTAAATTGTAATAAGATTATGACACTAAAGTTATAATCACATATTGACTGTACTATAAGCTGAACTAGTAGGCAATACTGACACTTCGCGGCCCTGTTCCCAAAAAGGCTCAATGGCGGGTGTAATTACCGCCAAAATAAAGGACACAGATACGGAGTGTAGTAGCCAAGGATGTGAACGCACTTTTATTTAATTCAAAATTCAAAATTCACAAGCAATAGCTATCGCTATAGTGTGGTACTATCTTGTGTGTGACATGCTTGTTGTGCGTGGTTCACTACAACATAGAAACAATCAAAATGCAGTGAAAAGTTATACTAAATCTAATAATTAAAACAAATAAAATCCTAGCTTATAACCCTTATGTCTATACGAACACATAATAAGCGTCAGTTAACTAAATACGGTATATTAACAATGAGTGAAATAACATTAGAGAACGAGTAAGAAATCTTACCAATTGTTTTGGGCTCCAATCTACAACTAAATAGCATGGTGCTATCTATGCAGCATTAAGCTAAATCTTATCATTGCGGTGGTGCAAACAGAGCTTAACTACAAGTCTCTTTAGGCAATTAGCACCCACTCTTACTTCTACTTGCCTAACATGTCCCACTTTGTCGGGATATACACGGACTATTCTTCCCAAGGGCCATTTACCCCTTGGACAATTCCCATCCACTACTAACACGATATCATCAACAGAAAAGTTTGGTTTTGGTACCATCCACCTTTGCCTAACTTGTAGTAGAGGGAGGTATCCATCGTTTCCAGAATTGATCGGCGAGGTATTGTACCTGGCGCCAACGTTTTTTGGTGTACATGTCCTCATGTACAATTTTTTTTCATGTACATGTACAATTTTATCAAACTTATTTATAAAGTACAGAAGAGTATAGTATAACTTACTTATTAATGGTGTCACCACATCTTTATTTAATGCTGGTTTTAAATTGCTTCCCTTGTGTGCATTAGATTTCGCTTTTGACAGGAAGTGGTTTGCCATTTCTACTCTTGTAAAAAAGTACAGCAAGGCATCAGCGGTACACTTATTTACATTAGTCTTTGTCAATAGGCTAACAACAGTCTTCGGCACTTTCAGATTTCCGGTTAGGGTTACCCTTGAAAATAGAACATACAGATATTAAATGATAAACAGCTTAAAATATTACTAGAGTGTGGTAGGCTTGAACATGTGATCAAAAGTACAGTACATTTAGCACCAGGCCGATTATACAAATGGTACTGCATTGAACATTTCTAAAAAAACACCATGGGGCGATTTTTTATTCGTAATACATAGCTATATGTATTTTGAAATAGAAATGATGCAGTAGACACATACACACATACAGAGCAAGTATTTAGACGGCAATGTACCGTAATCCAAAATACAGTAAAGCAATTACGGTCCATGCATGATATAGTCTGTGTTAGGCGTTTCTCTAATGACATGATCTTTTTTTTCAGCTGGAGATTCTCTGCAAGGAGTGCAGTGTCCTAAAACAAACAAAAAATTCTGTTTGGTTTTAAAACAATCTACAACTTTATCTGTATTTTTAGTTGTTCTGAACAAGGAGGTATAAAAATAAGAGGAGAGAGTACCAAGTCATTTCCTTTGAACCTCTGTCGGCCGCCGCCCCATTAAAAAGCAATAAAGATAATGACTTAATCACCTAGAGCCCATAAATTTCGCACTGCAATCTGATGAGTTCGTTACGTAACTCTGTCGCCTCCAGCATTTTCTACGTCATCGAGGTCAGCTATAGGTCAGATTTGGCGTTGTTTTCACGCGACGATCAAGCTACAGTACTAGTAGAGTACTACTACTACTAGCTTGTTCTTTTTATAACAATGCCGAGTTACAGTAAAGACGAGTATTTAGTTGGTTCTGATTTGAGCGACTTAAGCGATTTTGAAAACTTGAGTGATTTGGAAAAAGAAATAAACTTAAATGATGAAAACGATGCTGATGATGAAAACTTGTGTGTGTGCGGAGAAATTGGAACAACTAACATGATTTCATGCGCTGGAAAGTCGTGCTCAGTACAGTTGTTTCACTTCGAGTGCGTGGGTTTGTCAACGGCCGACAGCGACGTGGTAACAGAAGATTGGATTTGTAATGAGTGTAGGGGAAATCCAAGCACATCTCGCAATTATTCCAAGAAGAAAAATGCAAAGAAAGGTTCGTTTTGGCCTAGGCCTTACAGTGTATTTTAGTTTTTCGTGGGTTGCTGTAGGCGTAGGCCAAGGCCTAGTTCATCTCGGGCCTAGATACGAGCAGTTTTAGCCCTGCCCTGATGCCTAGGCGGTACCTACCGTCGGGATATTTGCTGTATGTAGGCCTAGTTATTAGTAGTAGTACTGTACAGTTAATCTTGCCTAGACCTAAGTCGAATAATTCCTACTTCGATCTTAATTCATATGCCAAATTGTTTTGTTTTCCATTAATTAACAAACAGTCTGTAAGTCGAATTTTATTTATCGACTTAAGGCAAGCTAGGCAAGTTCTACTACTACACTAGGTAGGCCTAAGCATAGTCCATGACCTAGCCTAGGCTATGACTTGGCTGAACTGGCATCTGGTCTTGGTGCACATGCATCATTGTCATATCATCTCCAACTGCTGTAGACCAATTGACTTCTACAATATTCATTTTTCTTTGCAAAAAATAGGTACCAGTAAAAAGAAAATGGGGAACAGCAAACTTGTGTCATCAGCAGCAGATGAAAGTGATAAAACGAAAAAGCAGAAAAAACGACAGAAAGAAAAAGAAAGTAGGAAATCAAAAGCAAAAGGTAAGATACAATCCTTTTGACAAGGAAAAATTAAACACAGGGTTTTTATCAATAAAAATATTGTATATGAAAAAACATATTTATTCAATGTAGGTCTAATGCAAAAAAAACCCACCAAAATAATGTACAATATCACATATTACTCTGTTTGTAAATAGGCAGGAGAATTAACACTTGGCAATGTAAAGTAAACAATGTGTATGAATATACCTCCTTGATTGTATTACAAGACAGTTTCTAAAATACACGGATACACATTCATCAGTATGTGATAATACTAATTTAAACAAGAATACTTAAGCAGTAAAAATATATATATATATATATGTTGTATATATTAAATGCCCATTTTTTTTTTTTTTTTTCGTTTCTTTTAGTTTTAAGACCACCATCACATTTTACAAAAGAAATGGCTGAAGGAAACGCTGTACAATATGTTAAGGCTGCATTGCAAGCAATACCAGAGAAATCTGTCTTCAAGAAAAATTATCCTAATGCGGTTGCGGCAAGAGAAATTGTTAGACAAATTTTATGTATAAAAGATGTGTATAAGAGACAGAATTATAATAATATTACTATACTAATATTAATCAGATTAATTATATTATTATTATTACTATTACTTCTATTGTTCCTTCTGTCCGTGATACTAGGTTTTTCTCTAACCCTCTGTCTATTAGGGGTGTTGTAATTAATTCACCTCATGTTTTGGGGCTTCTGATTACGTTAGAGAGAAATTAATTCCCTATGATTTATCAAATTGTTTATTTAAATACTCTTAACTTTGAATGATTAACCTGCCAAAATTTAAATTTTAAACTTTCGTTTATAAATTTGGGAATGTTTTTTTGGGTAATTTTATGTTATTATAGAATGACCGATAGTATAATCGATTGTCGGACACTTACTGTCAATTGAGACAGACGGTATAACAGGTTCAGTAGTAGACCTATCAAATGTAAGGTATCGATATACGCTGTCTCTTATACACATCTAGATGTTATCGACTTAAAAGGCAAGCTAGGCAAGTTCTACTACTACTACACTAGGTAGGCCTAAGCATAGTCCATGACCTAGCCTAGGCTATGACTTGGCTGAACTGGCATCTGGGCTTGATGCACATGCATCATTGTCATATCATCTCCAACTGCTGTAGACCAATTGACTTCTACAATATTCATTTTTCTTTGCAAAAAATTGGTAGCAGTAAAAAGAAAATGGGAAACAGCAAACTTGTGTCATCAGCAGCAGATGAAAGTGATAAAACAAAAAAGCAGAAAAAACGACAGAAAGAAAAAGGAAGTAGGAAATCAAAAGCAAAAGGTAAGATACAATCCTTTTGACAAGGAAAAATTAAACACAGGGTTCTTATCAATAAAAATATTGTATATGAAAAAACATATTTATTCAATGTAGGTCTAATGCAAAAAAAAAATATGGTGACCACCAAAATAATGTACAATATCACATATTACTCTGTTTGTAAATAGGCAGGAGAATTAACACTTGGCAATGTGTATGAATATACCTCCTTGATCGTATTACAAGACAGTTTCTAAAATACACGAATACACATTCATCAGTATGTGATAATACTAATTTAAACAAGAATACATAAGCAGTAAAAATATATATATATATATATGTTGTATATATTAAATGCCCATTTTTTTTTTTTTTTTTTCGTTTCTTTTAGTTTTAAGACCACCATCACATTTTACAAAAGAAATGGCTGAAGGAAACGCTGTACAATATGTTAAGGCTGCATTGCAAGCAATACCAGAGAAATCTGTCTTCAAGAAAAATTATCCTAATGCGGTTGCGGCAAGAGAAATTGTTAGACAAATTTTATGTATAAATGACCAATCTGAATTTGAGCAATTTAGCAAGTGTACGGTAAATGAACTGTTTCACTGTTTGCAAAGTGGCGCAACTAAATATTTGTCTGTAGAGGCGGACAATGAAGTATGGCGCTCATTTCACCTTTACAAGATTAAATCAATAGGTTCTTGGCAAAGATTCCTTACAGGTTCAAACATTGAGTTTGATGTAATTCCCGCTAACCTTGTATTACAAGAAGTACTTTTAGATGTGATGGTTGTACTAATGCGAGAAAATCACTTGGTAAATGCAACTGATGACTCTGCTGAGCCAAGCAGCTTAACACTGACCAAGGATGAGGAACAGGTCTTAAGATATGCAGCAGGATACATTCCCCATGCCTTGCTTAAACATTATTCAAAGCTTAAAGGTAATGCTGTTGCTGAAAAATTAAGCGAACTGCTAAAGAAATGGCGAGGAGAGGGAGATATCAGTGCTTCGTCCTTTCTCCTCTACACAAAAGAATGGACTGATAGACAAAACAGAGGCGGTCTATTCCCTGTAAGCGACAAACTCTTTCTCTTCTTCAGAGAGTTAGAGGTGGAATACCAGACGCATGTATCCAGCAAGACCCTTGCAGAACTTCGAGGAGTAAATTTGAACAATCTCCTATTAGGAAAATTTCACCAAAATCAGAAAATTAATAGATGTTGGTGTGCTGTGGTAAATGGAGAGCTATCAGACAATCTTTCCACACAACTGCAACGTAGAATATTTCTATACTGGATTAAAATTAGGAGCAAGGCATTTTTAAAGGTCTACTTAGACATACAGAAAAAAAACAACGCTGCATCTCAGCGTGGAGAAAAGGCGCTTCGAAAGGGATTACGTTAAATACGTTAGAAATTGAAGAGTAACACCTTTTGTTAAGTGACATTAACACAACAAAAGTAATATGTTGCCCAAGCACAGTATTGGTTAAGTTATTTTTAGCAATGAATATTTTTACCAGTCAAGTACATCGTGTACAGTAACAATAGCCACTGCTTTATTTCCTTGGTGTGATTTTCATTTGACTTTTTGTATTTTGCGCTCTATAAATTAATAACCATTAACCATTATTAACATCTTAATTTGAATAAATTTATGCTCAACTCTAAGCTGTATTTCTGTGATTCTCAAGTATTATGTTGTTTCATGCACTGCATTTAGCAAATTACTTTCTACACTGTAGGGGAGTAGCATCTAAGTTGGCATTGTTAGTTGTTGATAATTTACAGTTTGCCTTCTTCGATGCACGTACACACTGTCCCGCAACATGTAGTACAAGCATGTTGTGTCCAAACTGTTCAACTGTGGGATTATCGTGACAGCGTCCTATTCCTCGTTGCTTACTAAAATACTCCTCAAGGGGATCTTGGTTAAACTTGTCACTTAAGATGTATTTCAGTCCTGTACAAATGAATGCACTGAAAAATAAAAACATATATGTTACGACACTGTAAGTATTTCATCAACATACCATAGTCCTTTTGTTCATCAAAATATACAGAGACAAACAAGAAAACATGAAGAAATATACAGGACTTCCAAAAAAATAAAATTAATATCGGATAGCTCCCCAAAAGGGAGTATAAAAACCAAAATTACATTAACCATGCTATAACATTTACAGTATACAGTATTATTATTGAACACATTCTTAGAAACAATAGGCTGGGTGAGATCAAGGAGGTATGGCGAGATAAGCGTGAACAGTAAACAAGAAGGCACACCTCTCTAAGTAATAGCCAAAATGTACAGATAAATTTGTAATGCCATTGGATAAACCAAGGAGGTATAAAAATGCACTTACCGGAGATACGGATACCACAGACTGTTTCTTTACTGAGGCACATTTTCTTCTTCATCGAAGATGTAAGGCCGTCTATACTTTCCACTTGTTCTTCCCACTCATCAAAGAAGGATAAAAATTCTCCTTCAAGCCACTGGAACAAGAAAAAAAAATACAGTACAAAAGTACAGTATTTACTGCATTAAAGAATTAGGAAATTGGACCATCAAATTTGTTATTGAGTACATAAAAGTCCACAATGGTCGTAAATACAGTATGTGAACATTGAGTACTGCAATGAAAATATATGAAAAGTGAATATATTATCTCTTCTGTCAGCATGTAGCACATTCCCATAATCTTATTCTTCCGAAAAACTAATGGGCACCAGGGGCAGATCCAGGATTTGTGAAAGGGGAAGCGCTAATAATTGGCTGGGGGCCGGTAGGCCGCTGATGGCTTCGTAATTTTATTTTGGCTGTCAAAAGGTTTATAGAATCAAAATATACTTACATCGAATCTCCAATCATCTACTGTGCTATAAGGTTTCAAAACAGGTTTGATCACCTTGTTCTGATGAATCCTCGAAACATTCAAACAATCAAAGAATTGGTCAATATAACGAACAAACTTCTGCGTTGATTGGGTATCAGATCTCCCTTGAGCCTCAAATGCATTAGCTACAGAGGTACTAAATACCTAAGGAGAAATAGCATATTATCTTCTCAAATTATTTTTTTAATTTTCAGATTTACTAAAAAGCAAGGAATAATTTTCATTGCAGTAACATCAGTTAACAGGAAATATTACAAAGTTTAATTTTAATATAATTTGTAAAATCTACTTATAAAATAAAAGAAATAAAAATCCTACATTAAAATACGCCACAATTCTTTATCATCATGCATTGTTCCTGTGTTGGATTTGACTTTGTAATACACTTTCAATGAAATACAGATCAAACTGAGTTTTACATGTACAGTACCTACTTTGTGCTGTAAAAAATCTTTATATTTAACTTTATTAACAATCTTATAAGATTCACAGTGCAGTATAGAGACTTCTTATATTCTGGATAATTTTTATACACTGAAATTAATGCAGTAAGCTAAACTACCTGAGCAGCCAAATAAACTTTCATTCGATGTGATGGAGTCAAGTACAAATGCTCATGTGAAAGCTTATGAAGTCTCCGAAGACCCACGCTTGTTCTGTGATCCTCTCCTATGTCCCATTCGTGTAACTTGAGGAGTTGATTCCATGATATATCTTGTTTGTTGTACTGCAAAAATGGTAATCAAAAATAATGGGAAGTTTGTTATTTCATTGTATCTCATTTTATAAATACAGTAATAACAACAAATGTAAATGTAATAATTATTACTCACATGCAGATTCTTGGTCTTGCTATGAAAGCCAGAGTTCTCCCAATTGTTACGTGTGGTTTTGATTAGATGTGGCACATCACTAAAAAAGTAAATCCTTCTGCTGGGGTCAACTGGGTTGGTCATGTAGTATGTAACACCACTGCTGCACACTTCGCTGACTGAGTGTATGTCATAGAACTTTCTGTTTGGTGAAGCTCCATCGGAGACGATTGCTCTGACTTGAAAACCTATAGTTTCCATTGCATAAATGACTTGGCATACAATTGGGTAAAGGGAACGGCTAGCGATTCCTTCAGTTGGATAATAGGCAATTGGTGTATGTATTGGACTTGAAATACCTCGGACCATTAAAACAAGAACATGCGTTGCCAAACTACCACTGGTGTTTTTTCGACATTTCATTTCAAAATCATTGAGTTCATTTGCCAACTCCCCAACGTCAGTAAATCCAACAAACTGTCCTGAACGGGCATTATACACAAGACCAGCTTTTACCTTCATTTCATCCAACAGAATAGATATATTGCGTTCATGAAGTTGCATATTTTCCACATTGTGATCCTGGCAAATTCTATCAATAAAACTGGCATTAATCCCAGAATCCGGGGCAGTGAAATGGGTGTACCTTTGCAGGGTTTTCGCATGAGGTAGTTTTAAAAATCCACTATTTCTTAGAATTTCGTAGCCAGATGTTGATTTGGCATGAAGTGCGATACACCACCGAAGAACTGCAGGATGCCACCTCATCTGTTTATTCTTCTCATAGGCCTCCATTTGTTGTGACCATAGTAATTTCGCAGCAGGTTTGTCTTCAAGATACTTAGCCATTTCTTCGTCTTTGCCTAAAGACGAGATACAACATGCCTGTTTTGCTGTAATTTCAGCCCCTTCCTGCTGAATCATTTCACTGATCTTTTCTTGCAAGTTAGTACTTTTTCTTTTAAGGTTTTTGTTATGTTGCTTTAAAATCTTAGCCTTTTTGTGTAAGTCTGAAGGGGAAAGGAAGTCATTTCTTGTCTTACATTTTGACAAATCTTCAATTTGATTTCTTTTGCGTCTTTTGGCAGCCAATGACATCAAGTCGCTGCGGCTTACCTTGCACTGACCACATCGCCCAACATTTTCAACAAGCAGCCTACATTGCAGATGCTTATCTGTCAGGTCATAGTTACCTGTACAAAGGTGTGCATTTGAAACGGCAGTTATTAATTTAACAATTTCCTTAGTATTTAAACAGTCCTCTTTAAATTTACAAAGAACGTCTACTGCTCTGGATACCTTTATACTGTTGGCAAACACCTCCCATGAAGTCTCACTCACAGAAATGCATTTTTTCGCACACCCTGTACTGGTTAATGCACCAAACTTGTGTACACAGCCTTCAGTCCAATGGATAAGGCCCAGCTGCTCTGCACATTCAACCACTTCTTCCCATTTTATGCTGTCATCATTAGGCCTAGCATTGCTTTCAAAATCTACAACCTTTATGTGAATGGACACAGACTTGTTCTTTTTGGCCTTTTCCCACCATCTTCTCAATGCTTTTACACAATTGTAGCATATGTATTTTGGGAGGCTTCCATCATCGACCTTTACATCAATTCCAAATGCTCGATTAATCTGCAATTCAAATCTTTCCTTCTCGTACGGGTTTCTACCTTTAACGAAAACGGTGTTAGAGCCACAGAGCCGGCAAAGGTGATCCATTTTTCCTTTAAAAAATAAAAAATAAATAATATGAATAGATGCTTATGACTATGTTAAATATGTGGAGTACCAAATCATATATAATATATATATATATATATATATATATATATATA